AGGCCAGATCATAAAGGCTGAGGAGCAGTCAGGTGGAGAGAAGAGGAGGTAACAGAGACATAGGAAGAGAATCTAGCCCTGAACCAGAGCATGGAAGCTCTTCCTCCGAGCCTGGGGCTGGAGATGAGAGTGAAACTGGGGCATTTCCGATTGGCTCCAGGCCACAAAGTTGTGCATTTCTGTCCAGCACTCAATCCATATTATGAACAACCACAAGAGAGTTCTTATCTCAGCTAAACAATTTTACTCTTGATGTTATATGCTATCTTCAATTGCTTTTCCTTTCTTTGAAAATTGAGACTGCCCTGAATAATCCAGGATGGGGTTTGTAGTGGCAGAACACAAGTCACAGCAAAGAAGCCTGTATTCAAGTGGTTGAACAGACATCTGATACTACTCTATAAGCATGGAGCACAGAGGAAAATCAGTCATGGTCTACACATGCTCCCAGTTTCCCGCATGTCAATCCCAGGGAAGAGCTGAGTGCACCTAGAATAGCCACCTTGCACTGTGCACCAACAACGTGTCAGGCACTCAGCTAAGTGCTGGGTATACACATAAGAATGACATGCTTTCCACCTTCCAGAATGTTGCGGGGTAGTACTAAGGTGACAGCCTAAATAATTCCAATACAAAATCAATGGTGATCAATAACAGAGGTTCAAAGAATCAGGGAGTGTGAAGGGAGAGGATTGGTTTCCCCAGATCTCCTCCCTTGCTTTTCTCTGCGATGGATTGCTCCTATCCTGCCATCTGAAGTAGAGACACTTCTTTCATGTAAAGTACCACAGTCATTCAGCTGAACGTATGGTTTAAGTTCCACTTTGGATGCTATGAGAGCAGCACTATGTGTTGAATTTGTTTTAAATAAGCGCAGTGAGCAATGGAGGCTCAGAGAAATGAGATGTCAAACAGCACTGAAGATAGGGGAAAGGAGGCAGTCTAACCAGGAGTGAGAGAGATTGGTCTTTTAGTTGGAAGGTATAAAAATAAATTGTGTCTCAATTTTCATCTGTTAGATTAAAAGATTATAGAATCCATGTTAAGTAGAAACTTCCAAATGACACATCAACTGACAATTCAATCAAGATTATAAAGATTATGTCTAAGAATTAGATATTATACACATCTTTGTGCTTTTAACAAATAATCTGCAGGTATTTATTTTAATGCTATGTTTATGCATAGAATTTTGCTGCACCAATTTTTAGCCAGACATGCAAATCACTTTGCTCGTGATGGGCAGAAGGTGGTATAGGGGTGAGGAGGGAAAGCTTCTCCCTTTGCCCTCTGAAGGCTCCCTGAAAATGAACTGACAAAGGGCAGATTAGTGGGAGAAAACATAGCAGCATGCAAAATGTATTAATGCACATATGGAGGGGACTGGAAGTATGAGACCCAAAGGGGCCAGATGGTTGAGGCTTGACTACTGTCTTCATAGTGGAGAGATGTGTGGACGGGAGAGGCAGTCATTATTTTGTAAATGATTTTCTTTGGAAGCTGAGACAAGTTATGGGAAGGGGAGGGGAGACACTGTACAGGAACAAAGCTTGTCTTATTAGCAGCTTCCCAGGTAATCTCATTGTTCAGAGTGGCCCTCAGGAAAGTAGATGAAAAGTCAGTCTGGGCATGCTGACCACTCCTAGCTTCTTGACTTCTCTGGAGGTTCAACTTTTCTGGTCATTTGATGAGATTCCTAGACAGGTAGGATATTAAGACAATTGCATTTCTTTTGAAAAGAAGTTTTCTTAGAAAAGAAAATTTCAGAGTCTTTCCTGGTGCTTCCAGGAAAGAGGGTCAGAAACACCAGGAGTCAGGGGAAGGTCAGAGAGAGACCTTGGTTCTAAGGCTTATTTCTGAGGCCTTTCAATTTTCAAAGCACTCAGCATGCCAAAGTGCCATATTTTGGGGAACTGTCTTCTGCACCCCCCAAAATGGTTAAACTACCACAGGAAGGAGTAATTTTGTAGGTTGGACATTGGCTCATTGTCAATCATGCACTTAGGACCATGATTTTAACTACCCAGTCAGCGATCAACACAGAAGATCACCTGGGTTTCTGTTTTCAAACAGCGACGCATATAGTTAGGTTTCATAGTAAATATGCAGAAACCAAAATTTGAGCTGCAATAAAGTTGTGATGCTTATACCTTTACAATGTTCTGGTAACATGAGTATAATATTTTTATCATAAGCTGACATGACTTTGCCTTGACATATTGATCAAAAGTCTTAAAGAACAACTAATAAAAAGCTAAAAATCATGGTTGAACGAGTAGATCTGGAGTTTGAGGGGAAGAAGGAGGAACAGGAAGCCTTTCTTGCCTCCAAAGAGAAAACCAAATTTTCTCTTAAGATGTGTTTCCCACATTCAGGAATAGTTGAATGAAGTGGAAACCCAAGCCCAAAGGCTTGTAGGCAACAGTTACCCATTGAAAAGAGACATGAGCACTCCTGTATCCATTTAAAAATATACGCTGAGCCTCATCATACCTGCTGGCACTGTGATGACTCCTTCCTCCCCTCCATATCATAGTGTGTGTGTGTGTGTGTGTGTGTGTGTGTGTGTGTGTGTGTGTGTGTGTGTGTGTGTGTGTGAGAGAGAGAGAGAGAGAGAGAGAGAGAGAGAGAAAGAGAGAGAGAGAGAGAGTCTCAGTTCCTTCCCCTTCTCTCCTGAGAACTTAACTTACTAATATCTTTTAGTTCTCAATATCTTAAACATTTCAACATGGTAGCCAATTGATAACATTTTAAATTTCGGAGGAGAGTGGACTAGAATCAAATAGAAACTAGACTAAGGAATAATGCAAAGATTAATATTGGCAACTTCTAATGTTGATAAAGTTGGTCATTCCTATTATTTCCTTTTGGTTGGATCTGTGCATGCAAAGAAATTTGGGCTGATCATTATGAAGTTTATTTGTGAGTCAGGAAACTGCCCACCCCCATCACAAGAATACTCAAGGGAAAGACCGAACCCATCAGTCAAGGAAAAGTGTAGAGGATATTTCAGACTAGGGTGTATCCGAGCTATCCCTAAGGTGCTTTTGAGTCTGGATTCCATAAATTTCCATTTGGAAACTACGGAGAGTCAGATATAATTGCACATTACTATGTCATGTTCTTCTGGCCAAAGAGATCTGATTAGAATTTTTTACACACTATTCTAACACCTTCAAAGCCCAGCCTGTTAAAAATTATTTCAAGGAGGAATGGTCTAAAATGGTCTTTTATGAGGGTCATCTTTATATCTAAAAATAATACCAATGTGCCTCTGTTCTCCCTGATAGAAAGTGAATTCCTCCTCCCCACCCGCTGCCTTGCCTCAACCAGGGATCATGTCAGAAACAAAGGTTGGCCACCACGAGATGGAATTTATAAAATTTTACATAAAAATGCTACCAATATTTGACTAGTTATATTACCTAAGGAAATGAGGAACTTTGTTTATACTTTCAGATCAGCAAATGCCAAAAATACTAATTTAAATGAAGAACCTTTCCCAGTGTTACATTAAAATGCTGATAGAGCCTATTTTAACACATGCTGTGTAACTTTTTAGATATCAGAGAAAACATTTATGTTTGGTAACATTTTAGCATTAGGCCTATTTTCTTTTATTCTAATTCCTAAAAAATATAGTCCATCCATATTCTCCGTCAGGCCCGAGGTCCTTGCTTTCTCTCCTTCATGGACCTCAGTTTTACCCCAGCTTCTTCACTTACTATCTGTGTGGCCTCAGACAACTTCTTGGAGGCTCAGCTTTCTCATCTATAAAAGAGATTTGAGTACAACAGCAAAAGATGTTGTGGAAATGAAATGAGAATACAAGCGTCAATACAACAGTGTGTGCGTGGAGATTCATTCTATTCAACTTCTTCTCCAGACTGTCTCCAAGCTCACAAATCCTTGGGATTGGTCCCAAGGCTGCCCTAGTGGTCAGCAAAGAGCACTGCCCTTCCCCATCCCAACCCTCCCCAAGGAGCAACAGACTGTTCTCAACATCAGCATCACCAAGAGTGTGTAAATCATGTGATTCTACCCCAGATTTTCTGAGTCTGAGACTCCAGCCTGGAGCCCAGCAATCTGTACTTAACACACCTTCCAGGTGATTCTCGGGCTCCAAAACTTTGAGAACCATTACTCTACCTAGATCATTCTGTCTTCATCACTCTCCCGCATGGTCTCAATTCTTTCCATGCCCTTGTACCTTCAGGACTCACCTCCTCCAGCATCCCTGCTGCAGGCAGTGTTCTCCGAAGCCAGTCATTACAGAAATTCTCTACTGGAATCAAATCCTAACTATACGTAGGAAAGGAGGAACAAACTGTCATCTGGTGGAATAACTACAAGCAACCCAAAGCCTCACCCTCAACTAGGATTATCTCATGGCTTTTGTCGGGCTAGGTCTCTGTTTCATAGCTGTACATTCCATTGCAATAGCCCATCTGTTGCCTTCAGCTCAGCATGTGCCAGTGCAGGAAAGAGCTTGGAGCAAGTCCTTCCCATAAGAGCAGCCATGGCATCCCAATGACTGAATTGTCACAGAAACCACTATGTCCTCATGATAAATTCCTAGGCCCCTGGCTGGGCCATTCAGATCACTAAAATATTTCAGTAAGTTGGAAGCTCTGTCTTTGAAAATGTTTCAAACTTCTCAAAGAAGAAGAATCTTTTGAATCAAAAAGCTTCTGATTTCCCCTGTCAATTGTAAATGAAGGTAACCTTGAGGACTTTCTGAAAGTCTCCTGTTCGCAGCAGTCACAGGATTCTGACAGATCACGTGTTAGGAATTCTGCACTTCAGATATCTGTGACATTACCTAAGTCTAAAATGTGTTTGTTGAAGGCATTTCGGCTCGTTAAACCTATATTCTTGATAAATATTCTTTACAAAGCAAAAGAAAGAGTGGCTTCTGAAAACCTATGAGAGGAATTGGTCATGGAGGACGTTCTCTTGGTGACACCCGTGAATGTTGCTGACCGTCCTTGTCTTTGCAGGAATGTGAGTTCGGCGGGGGAGGAGGCCCGCAGGAGGATGCGCGAGTGTGAGGGCCTCACGGACGCCTTGCTGTACGTGATCCAGGCTGCGCTGGGGAGCAGCGAGATCGATAGCAAGGTGGGTTGTGTTTGCATAGACAGAGCATGTTAGAGGAGAAAGCCACCCCGGGACTAGACAGCGGCTAATACCGAGGAGCTAACGTACATGCGTTCAGTCTGCACTTTGTATGAATCCAGAGTTTTCCACACAGGGCTCCTGATCCCAGCCTAGAACTACACACCCAGCTTTTGATAAGCAATGAGTAAAACTTTAGATGAACGTATAAACTTTTGCATAGCACGTCGTTCCCAAGCTCTACTTTTTATTTTGTAAAATTTACTTTAAAAAGCCAAAGGGATATTTAAATTACCTAAAATTTGAATAATACTATATTCTTATGAGGTAGCTTTTTAACAACTGTTCATAATATTAAGTGACATTTAAAAATACCTGCAAAATCTAAATTAATGTTAAAATGCTAAATAAGCGAGCCTGTCAACGTGTTAAATCATCAGTGCCTAGTGATGAGTTTAGTTCACAGGCCAAAATAGAATTGAGTGGACTCTTTCAGTGTTTGAGCTGTTTTGTTTTGTCTTAATTAGATTAGTTTTCATTCCGACTAGATATAAATTTGTAAAGTATTTTCACAATATCCTCATATAAACACAGACTTTACCAATCTTTTTAAAGTAATACATGTGATAAATGTGATATGTTAATAAGCGTTTCTCAAGAGCAACCCTTACTGACATTTTGGGCTGAATAATTCTTTGTTGGGGGCTGTCCTGTGCATGGTAGGACATCTAGCAGCATCCCCAGCCTCTAACCACTATATGCCAGTAGCACCCCTAGCCCCACCCCAGTTGTAACAAACAAAAATGTCTCCAGACATTGCCACCTGTCCTGTAGGGAGCAAAACTGGACCTGGTCGTGAACCACAGCCTTGCTCCCATGTTTTCAACCCCTTTTCTTCATCAGAAGTGCCTTTGGAGTGTTAATAAGCACATCTGCCCAGATCCCATTACAGCCTTCTGGATCTGAATGTCTAAGTCTGATCTCAAGTTTTCGTACCTTTGAAAGTTCATTAGGAGATTGGCTGTGCATCTTGGATTAAGAATCTGCCTTAGTAAATGGAGCTTTGAAATGGACTCTCGCTAATCAGAAATCTGGCATAATGTAGTAGGAAAGTCACATACAGAACTAGTTAGAGTGATCCTGTTCGTTTAGTTGTTAACTGGTTTTGTGGCTAAGTTAGTGTAGCATTTCTCAACCTTGACTACACATTAGACTTACCACAAAATTTAGAAAATTACTGATGCCTGAGCTTTACTCCCCAAAGATTTGGACCCAATGTATCTTCTGGGTACTAGTTTACTCCAGTTATGAACACTGCCTTTTGTCTTATTACTGCCATTTAGTTACGTTTACATCCATTCATTTACTGTGTGATTAATTTCAAAGACAAAATGCAATGTATTAAAGACTTAAGCATTCTCCTTTCATGGGAGCTCTTAATGACCATTTTAGACTTTTTAATATATTGACAGGAAAATTAAATCCCTAAAAACGTGACCAGTCAAGGTGTCTTGAGTATTTACAGATGCCTCTTAGCAGATTAGACACATGATGTTTTGAAAGAGCTACTGAAGGCAATTCACTGAAACAGCAATGCTGAGCATCTTCATATTCATAGCAGTGAGACTGAGGCACTGGGAGACTAAGCCTCTTGCTATGATGGATACTGAAAAAGCTTTAGGGACCCTCTCTGGACCTTGCAGGTGAAAATAAGAGTCAATGGCCTCATCCCTAGGCCAAGTGCCCCTGCCACCATCACTGGTTCAAGAACCAACGTGCTCCATGGCACAAACATCTCTTTTCTGATATTTCAGATGATCAGGACACTTTGGAGATCACCTCTTTTCATATCCACATTTTCCCCTAAAAAGGAAGTTGAAATAATTGGGAGTATTCAGGGCTGGAGTCAGAAGACCAGGATATCCCTGATGGAATGAGGATGGCACTCAGCATGGCATCAGGACAGAGCTGGTAGACTGGGTCATCTGCGCCTCCCACTGGCTGGAGGAGCATACCCAAGTGACCCTAACTCTGTGACAAGGAGGATAATCATAGCTGAACACCAAGGCTGTTGAAAGGGTCAGAAGTGATAAATTGCTCAGCAGTGCTTTGTTGGCTGGATTGTGCCATTGAGTTTTAACGCATTATTATTGTACCGTAATTTCCCACTCAGCCCTCTGCTTGGCCACTTCTGAGCTTCCACAATGACGAGTTAGAGAGGGTAAAAATGAGTACTTGTTCTTTTTAAGGCCAGAGACGTTAATGAATAAGAGCCTGGATTCCATGCAAGTTCACGGCTCAGCTCCCACAATCAGGACAGTTTGTGGAATGGATAACATATGGTAGAGCACTCTACAGACAACTTCCAAATTAGCCCTTTCTAATAGAAAATGAAGAGTCAAAATGACCCTGGCGACCAAGACGAACTGCTAAACGCACTGTTGACGGCAACGGATGCCACAAGCAAAGCCACCAGCTGCCACAGTCCTTCTGCTGGTATCCCATGTCTTTTTTCTCTTTTCTTTTTCCCCATTCCTTTAGAGAAAAGCTCTTGAGTTGGTAACCCACCCAACCCAAGCAGGACTGCTGACCTCCAGGAGGCTTGATGAGCAATGATCTCGATCACCCTTTCCTGCTGCACCTCCCTCCTTCCCTCACCCCACCCTCCCTCTCTCCCTCCAGCTCCTCCCCACATCGTCTCCCTGTTTGCAGGTAGATCATATGGCATTTCTCCAAACTGCAGATTTACTCCCCAGTAGACATTTGTTAAACAGAGAACTGCCAACACTCCCGGGGAAGACGAACAGCAGGATGAGAAAGGAGTTTATTCTCCCAAGTCTTTTTGATGTAAGAAAAATCAGTTTGAGCTGATTTAAAAATCGTTCTGACTCATGCCATAACATTCTCTTGTCAATGAGAGGTTTTTCTCTCTTTCATGCATCTTCCTGTGCTTATCTGCTTTAGTTCCGTTTTTGATGCTGAGAGGATGCTTGAAATAGAAAATCAAGTTGACTCAAAGCCTCTGGGCTTAGCAGCCCGTGAAACCTTGAAAAGCCGACAAGAAAGGTGTGGAATGGCCAAGGCTCCAGAGACATTTCCTGAAAACTGGTTTTCCTAGTTGGTATTTACACTGCCAGTATTAGAGGAAAGGCACAGGCTTCCTGGAACCAGATTCCAGTCACTGGAGGGGGCGTCTCAGGATGTGGATCCTGGCAGCCTCCCAGGACCACAGAGAAGGCACAATCCAGCATGAGTTACCCACAGCCTAGATCTTCTCTCCTTCGTCTGTAGGATGGAATTTTGTTACCGGCCTTGAAAGGTGACCGTTACATAGCGATGCCTGAAAAATGATAGCCAAGTTGGTATGTTTTTTAAAATAAAACAGCTAAGTTCCATTTTTTTCCCATCATTATTTTGCCCTTTTTTGAAATTGGGTACGATATTTTTCCCTCTTCCTATGGTTCTTCAAGTCCAGATCAAAGGTCAAAAGGTCAGCTTTGTTTCAACCAAGAAACTTTTTCCGCAAAGGTTCAGCGAGTAAATACATCAGGCTTTGTGGGCCATGCGGTCTCTGTGACAGCTACTTCATTCTGCCACTGTGGCACGAGAGCAACCGCAGACAGTACAAAAGCAAAAGGGCGTGGCTGTGTCCTGTGACACATTACGTGCGGGCTGCAGGCTGGATCTGGCCATGGACTGCAGTTCACTGGCCCCCTCCTCTTAGCAATCAGAAGTTATTAGAACTGGTATTTCCAGAATCTCCAACTTCATCTCTGAGGCACTGTTCAACGAGCTTTTGCAGTGGGCACTATTCAAAGAGCTGTATCTATTACCTCCTTTCACCCTCACTCTGGCCCTGGGAAGTTGGTGCTGTGTTCATCACCCCCAGTTTATCGTGAGGAAATAGCTGCACAGAGGGATGAAGCACTTTGCCCAGGGCCACACAGCTCATTAAATGGCAGATCCAGGACTCTGTTCCTTCTGAAGGCTCTAGAGGAAAGTCTATTTCCTTCTCTCTCGCAGCTTCTGGAGGCTGCCTGTCTTCCTTGGCTTGTGGCCCCTTCCTCCATCTTTAAAGCCAGCGATGGCCATCACACCCTTTTCATGTCACATTGCTGTGACCTTCCTGCCTCTTTCTTCACTTATGGGACCCTTGTGAATACACTGTACCCACCAGAATAACCCAGACCATCTCCTCGCCTGACAGTCAGCTGATTAGCCCCCTCAATTCCATCTGCAGCCTGCGACATAACCTAACATATTCACAAGCTCCAGAGATTAGGATGTGCACATTTTGGGGGTGGCTATTACTCTGCCTACCACACCTACAAACATTAGCTTACCTAATCCACACAGCCACATAAGAGCTGGATCCTATTGTCCTGTTATGACCATTTCACAGAGGAGGATATTAAGTCCTGGGGACGTTGGGTGCATTATCCAAAGACGCACAGCTCATAGTTGGAGACCTAGGGTTCCACAGGTGTCCAGCTCAACAGCATGTGCCCTTAACCACTGTTTAATCTCTTTACCAAAAAAATGAGTGTCAGCATCTCCAAAAAATCAGTAGAATGAAAACATTATTGTCCAAGGTGATCACAGCACCTCACTTGCTTGGGACAACCCTGGTGTGCACCTATTGCCACTTTTTACAGCCAGAAAGTGCCCTGGTGGGCGGTGAATGTTAGTGTCACCCACCAGGGCTAACAGAAATCCAATATCTGTGCTCTTGGTGGCTCGGACTCCGAACCCTCAGACAGCAGCTATTTGTAAGTGCATGAACTTGGGACCTCTTTTGATTGTAAGCTCTCCTCTCTCACAAGTGAATTTCAATCAACGATGATGGACATTTATAGAAGTAACTACTGTTGATAAGTCGTTTCTTTGGGAGGAGAAAAGGTCGTCAGAGCTTTCCAGGCTTCCCCACATTCTTTCCTGCCAGGGGAGGCTTTAGAAGCCAGTAGCTAAAAGCATCCAAACAGAAATGGGTACATGGAGATTGATTGCTTTTCCATGGTGAAAGAGTGGCGTGCTGGTTAGTTTTTATTCATTTCTCCTCTGTTTCCTTTTTGGGTTCTCCAGACCGTTGAAAACTGTGTGTGCATTTTAAGGAACCTCTCGTACCGGCTGGCAGCAGAAACGTCTCAGGGACAGCACATGGGGACAGATGAGCTGGACGGGCTGCTCTGTGGTGAGGCCAATGGCAAGGATGCGGAGAGCTCCGGGTGCTGGGGCAAGAAGAAGAAGAAAAAGAAATCCCAAGATCAGGTGATGGGGCTGTGCATGCAACCATCCCCTTCCCTAGTTACAACCTGAATATTTTGTCTGTATCTATAGATACGGGGCTCTGCATTTCCAATGTGTCTGCACAGTTTTCCTGTGGGAATTTCACAGCTGAGACGGTGGCACATTAAATGATTTCCCATGTCTTGCAGCTGAACCAAGATAAGAAATTTAAAAAAAAGAAAGAAAGAAAAAAGCCATCCAAGTCCCAGGCAGGCTGTGACATTGCAGCTCTTAGAGTAGCGGGAGACCCAGGTGCCAGTTCTTCCCTGTGTCGATTCACACATTTGCTGAGGTCTTTGTTGGGGCAGGCTGGGTGTCCTGCAGGTGGAGGGCATGCACAGAACAGGACACGTGGTAGAAAAAGGGAAGCTGAGGAGAGAGGCACAAAAAACCAACATGTATTTCATAGCAGGTTTTGAAATGTTTGGATATGCAATCTTGCACTTCTGTTGGAAATGGTGATAACATCTAAGAACAGGATGGCCTTAGAAACTTGGCTTTGGGGGACAATTCAGATGAAGTCAGAACATTTTCCAGCTGCAGGACGTCTCTGCAGAACAGAATGGGCTTCACCTCATGCAGCTGTGAGTGGGTCCCCTGCAGTGAAGCAAAGGCCCGTGGGCAGCAACTTTCAAACCTGGGGCCCCAGAGCAGCCTCTTCCTCTGTCCCCAGCAGCCTCTGAGAGGCTGAACCCATCTCCCATGGACACCACCAGGAAAGGGAGTGGTAGGAAGAGCTGGCCTTTCGGCTGCCCAAAGCCCACCCCTGAGGATTTTTCCATTTCACCCAGACACTGTGGTCTCATGTCCACCTTTCCCTGGACACTGTGGTCATACATCTAGTATTCCCTGGACACTGTGGTCATACATGCACCTGCTGAGGGTCGTACTAACCCAGGATCTGGCTTTGCTCAGCAGTGGACCACTGAGAAAGAGGTACAGATCCCACGACACTCTGTCTTGCTAGGTTTTGAATTCAAAATAAAAAAGCAAATGTATTTGTTGAGGTCACAGCACACTGTTTTCTAAACTATATTAAGCAATAGGTTTACTTCAAGAGAAGGTTAAAGAAAAATAGTTTAGTTACAGGAAGGATTAGTGGGAATGCATTCTTAAGTCTAGTTCCTGGCTCCTCCTTGAGTGCGACGACAGTGTGGTTTTAGATTTCAATCCTCCGGCTGTTCACAACCCCTGTAGGCTGCACCAGGCCTTCCCACAGTTTCTGGATCTGCATGTTCCAGCTGACACACACCTACAGTTTAGGAGATTCGTGCTCATTGACTCTATGATGGTGACCTTCCACTCTGAGAACTGAATTCACACCCTGCTTTTTTCTCCTGTCGTGAGTCAGTGCTCTGTGTTTTCCATCCTTTCCCTGAGCAGGAGCCTTTTAAAAATGATTGAGTTGTCGTTCTCAACTCACTCGGCCACTGAAACTGCCCCACCAGGGGAGTTCAGCGGTCAGCCAGCAGGTGTTCACAGGACACCTCAGTGCCAGGCATCGGGCAGGGTGCTGTCTCACCCATCAGGGTTGCAACTGCTACTTCAGGGGGCCATACCACTATGTGATCTGGACATTTTCAACTTCAAATCAACTAAAACATGGGCTAACAAAGGTAAAATGGGTTCTTTTAATCTTTTCCCTTTGCTGTACTCTGTTACCACGGAGCCCAGTCCCTGCACTGCTTTGTCCTGGAAATGTGAGTGAGCACAGTAAAGGCTAAAAGGAAGAAAAGCATCTGGGCAGGAACACGGTGCTTCCCAACTTGCCCAGAGATGATAATCCCCCAGGTCTCACCCAAGACCGAAGGACTCAGTATCTCATGGATGAATCCCAGGCACGTTTGGAAAGCAAACATGGGAAATCGCATTAGTGCAACCTTAGCCATGGCTGCAGAGACTGCAACTGAGACTGCATCCACCCTGATGTGAGGGTTTCGCCTCCAGGGTTTGAGCTGCTGCTCAGATTCCAAAGTGCATCCCTGCTGCTGCTGCACCTGACCCTGACATCAATCCCTTTCCCCAACTCTGCCAAGATGCACTTACATGGATTTAAATCTTTCAAGTGACAGGTGAAATTAGGGGTTGATTGGGTTCAGAGAAGGAAGCAGTCCAAGGAGAAGGAGTATTTGTGGGCTTCACCTCATGATACAGCCCTTCTTTCCAGAAGTTCGCTACCTCCGTGAAATCCTGCGGTGGGTGATTTTCTAGGCTTAGAATGCTGTATTTTAAACCTTATTTTGTGATATTGATGAGCTGTTTTCCAAGTTTAGTACCATAAATTCATTAATAGAATTTTATTATTTTTACCAAAAGTCCAAGTGAAAATTTATGTGGTTTATTTGTTCCATTTTTTTCTTACAATATTCTTTAAGGGAAAAAGGAAGAGACTTCTTTAAGAAAGTTTCCCTGATACTGCTAGAGGTCAAAATGCAGTGGAAATTTTTTGTTTATAAAGAAGCTTTGAAGTTAGGATTTCAACCAAATCATAGTTGTTTTTTTTTTAAGGTCTTTTAACATGCTCTAAATGAATACAAAAACATTTTGAAATACCAGAAAATTCGATATCAAGCTTCGTGAGGATGTAAACATAACAATTATGCTTGTCTGAAAAACCATTTAATGTGTTTTGTCAAGTTCAATATATATAAAAGTGGTCAAAAGTAAAAACTACCATGCATTTAAAGACTGGTGGATGGTAGGCAAAGTTGAAAGGGCTGGAGATGGGGATGACAGTAAAGGCAGAATGTAAGATTAAATTAAAAGGAGAGGAATGAAATAGGAGAGCGTTCTCAAACCTAGTGAGCCCCCTGGCACCGAGGCCAGGACTGAGTCTAGGTCATGACACCTGCTGGGGAAGGTTGGCACTGCCTCTGGGGTCTCAGCAGGAAAAAGGCAGTGGTTCCCCCTGAGGATTTCCAGTGGTGCTTGGCACTTGGAGAATGCAGGTCACCATTCCAATATGGGTGTCCGGGAGTCAAAAGGAATTCAAGAACAGCTGCTGCAAGTGAGAGGAGGAGCCACGGCCCTAATCCATCACTGTTAACAGGTTGCAGCAAGGTGGCAATGCAAACGTTCCATTCCAAGGCCCATCTAGGACAAAGCATCCCCGTCTTTGCTCACACAGCAAGTTACCTTCAATGCCTGGAAACGGATTTAAATTGCCTAGAAGCTTCCAGAGAGTTCTAGGTCTACAGCTTTAAAGATGGTCAGAGATCATTTGTCCCCTCGAACCTCTTCTGAGGGCAAAGTCATGCTTTTAAAGAATTTTTAGTGATTAAAGATAATATATAATACAAGTAAAGTGAAGAAAGTAATGTAAACACAGGTGTAGATATAGACATGGATATGGATGAGATATATATAGAAAAAATATGGCCAGTTTTATAATATATGTATATGCAAATACAAAATATATGCATTTACAGAAGGTCTGTTTCTAGAAAAAGTAGAGTAAACATCAAAGAGAAGATAATGATCAATTCCTTTTGTACTTATGTATTTACAAATATTCCAAATGAAAATTACATTTGTAATCTTTTCAAATGGCATTTAAAAATAATGTCCAAAAAGCACTAAAGTGGCTAAGTCCAGGTATGCTTATAAAAATGTGTGTTTTGTTTTCTCTTAAATTTAAGATGCCTCAGAGAAAAGTGTAAGGGACTATGTAAAATGAAGGATTATCTAGTCCACAACAGAGACCTCCTGGGACAGAGGAGCCAGATACTGTGACAGGAAGCAAAAATGACGAAAATCATAATTGGTTTAATGATGGCCTCTGGACCCCATTCTATTCCAGAAATTGATGTTGACTGTTATAGCTGGCATTGGTATTCTGGACCTTAAAAAATATTATAACATTCTTTAGGTCAGATTTAGTTATAATGAAAATCTCAGAAACTTTTTTATTAAATCCCTGGTAGGGATAATTCAAGAAAATACATGATACACAGATAGGTTGCATTCATGCTGTTATTTCAAGAAATGGGTGCTATTGAAACATTCTAGAACCATCTGACTGTGATCCCCCGTGTGTGGATGTGTTTGACACCTCTGTGCATCACATGGACTTTGCAAACTCATTCATTTCTGACTCTGTGTAAAACTCCTGTTGCTGAATTATAAGAAATTGCTAGTTTCTCTAATTTGGGGGGTGGAACCTCTCCCAAAGCAGCCACATGTCATATGCCAAGGAGACCTACCTCACCTGGCAGGATCCTTCCTTCCCTCCAGCATGGCTTTGTGCCACCAGCTTTCACCACAGGGTAGGGGAAGGTGGGGGACAGTCTGAAGATTGGATTACACGGAAATAGAAGGAGATGAAATTGATTTATGTACTTTTTGCGCCTTTGCTAGAAATAAGCATTTTTTTGTTTTTCAATTTGGAATATGGCCAAGGATCCTGTGATAGTGTCCTGGGGTTGGTACTGCTCACATCAGACCTGGGTCTTCACGACTACTCAGTGTGAGCTTGATCATGTACCGAGAAACCCACCGAGAGAAAAACAAAACTAAACCAAGCAGGATCCACTAGAACCGAAAGCCTCTCTCTTTTCTGCTTATAAATCACTTAAAAGTTTTAAAATTCAAATGTGTAAAAAAAAAAAAAAATCTATGCATATGGGTGAGGACTTAAACGTATCACAATTCAAACATGATTCTAATCCAGTATTTTAATATGGTATATCCAGTATTTTTCTCTTGTGATAGTCTTTGTTTTACAACTTTCAGTATGTGTTAGTCAATTAAGAGTAAATGTTTTTGCTCTTTTCACCTCTTTCTTAAGTTGCAGATGCCAAATACATTGATTAGTGGGACGTTTCACTTATGATACTTGGCATGATATTTTATACGCTAAAGCAATAGGAATGGACTTCTGTGTAAAGCTCTAATGCCCACTTACATATTCCACGATGAAAGATACATGCCAGCAGAACCTCCAGGGCTCCCTCCCAGTGCACTTTCCTAGCCCACCCTGAGGT